AGCTATGGCGGGGAACCACCTTGGGGTGTTTTGTAAGTTTACGTCATTCATAAATTAGGAACTGTTTGTATCAAATGACTGCAATGCCAGAAAGTCCAATCCTATCAAAGCATTAGAAAGGACGCTGAGACGATTAGCTCCCTTCTTTCAGGCAGAGACACCTTTAAATCCCAAATCAGACAAAAGCTACATGTTATCTTTATAAAAATAATTCCTAATGGGGTGACCGATTAGCTCAGTTGGTTAGAGCATCGTGCTGATAACACCAAGATTGCCGGTTCAATCCCTGCATGGGCCACTGTGAGCTGTGCCCTACTTACTAAGAGTCAACTATGCCATCGTAGCATGAAAGAAATGTGTAACCAATGATCATGGCTGTTCCCAATAAAAATGCTTATAAAAAATAATAATTCCTAATTGAAATCATTATGGTTCTTATCAGCAAATAACTGAGTGTGTATATGTGTACATATATACACATTCGATATATTCCGAAGTTCTACAGCTCTCTAGATATATTCAGTTCTAAAACTGTTTACTTATACTCTAAAGAAAAGAAGATGCACAATTTCACCAACGCCTCCCAATCTATGCTATGAGTGCTTCACTCCCAAGTGTGTACTATTTATTTACAGCAAGTTCGTAGCAGACTCAAATCCATATCATGTCCCTTGTTGCTCTCAGCTGAACGAATATTACTCTGACTCCCCTGAATTATTCTTGATAACATTTCAGGATTCAGAACAGCAGAAAAGAAAGCTGTAAAGGGAGCTGATGTGACTCCTCACATCAGTAGAGAATGTACTCTGGAGGATGTTTTAATCACCAGAAGTAGATCTTCAGTCATCCAACCAACATGTTTTTGAGTGCCCTTATGTGATAGGTACAGCTGTGCAATGAATAAAACTATCCCTAAACTTAAGGAGATCGCAGTCTAATGAGCAGGCAGGTAGACACACAAACAAAACTACAATACAATTTGATAAATGCAGTGAGAGTTGCATGTTCAGGATTCAGTAGTGGTGCGCATGTGTGGAGCAGTCAGTGCTACCCAGAACAGAGGTAGCAGAGTTGAGTCAAAAGGTGGCACGGCTGTCATTCCCTTAAGGACTTGTCAGGTGGACGTGGGTGGAGGGTACCACAGTACACAGATGAAGAGGACAGCTGTGGAATTTGAGTTCCTAAGATAACTCAAGCACTCTCTTATCTACCCAGGATCAGGGGAGGTGGGTTGTAATCAGAGAAGAGACATTTGAGATAAAATATAAAGGATACGTAGGAGTTAACTAGGCAGAGTGATAGTGACAGCAGGGTAGCATGCCAGGAAGAAACAGAATGTGCAAAGTATATGAGGCAGGAGGAACCGGGGTGAGTTGAGAAAACAGAAAAGTTAGTGTGGCTGGAGTACAAAGAGAGGAGATGGGATGGCAGGAGATGAGGCTGACGAGCAGGACAGACGGGCCAGAGTAAGCAGGACCCTGTAGGTTTCACAGCAAGGAGTTTTTATTCTAAGAACAATAGGAAGATGATGAAGGGTTTTAAGCATGGAGATGACATGATAAGATCTATTTTTTTAAATCATTATGGCTTCAATATGGAAAATATATTAAATAGGTGTAGGAGTGGACACAAGAAGGCCAGTTAAGAAGCTACTGCTTCAAGAAAAAGGCTGGTGGTGGAAAAATGGTGGTGTAGAAAGAGAATAGAGTTCAAACATATTTAGGAGGTCAATCTGTGTGATGATAATGGACTAGATACAGCACATGATGAAGAGTGAATGCACAGGGATGACTTCTAGGTTTCTGACTTATATGGATGAATGGTGAAGCCATTCACAGAGACAAGAAACTATAGAAGATGACCCGTTTTGTGGGACTCTCACTTGGACATTTTCATTTGTCAGCACCGAGTGAGCTGGCTAATTCCTTACGGTTTCAGGGGGTACACAATCTGGTCATTTCTCCCAACCTATTAGATGGCATTTTTTTTCTTCAAATCCTCAAAGTATCTTAATCATCAGTGATTATGATTGAAAAAGCCTTGCCAGAAACATCTTTACGAAACTATATTTACATATATATTTATAATGTAGTGTGTATATTTATAGCATATACACACTACATTCATAAGTGAAGTTTCCATCCGTAGGTTGAATCCTAAATATTCTTATGATTGTTCATCTGCTCATTCTTTTTATAAACTTCTTCAGTTTCCCACTCACAAGGAGAATGTAGAAATAAGGAGAAACAGCTTTGGAAATGACATTGCTCACAATTGCACACACAACCTGGTAGCACCATTACACGGTCACTCTGAGATACAAATGAGGACACCCCTTTTCCCCAGGTTCCAGGAAACCAGTGCAGACAGGTGGGGCTTATAGCAAGAGGTTAATGTACAGACTGAGACTTTTCCCTTGATGATAGTCTCACTAGGTTTTCACTGTCTCTAAAATGCAAAGATCTCTAAAAACAACTCAACGCTTACATTTGGGGAGCTTTTTAATGCTAAATATAAAACTTTCCTTAATGACTTTTGCAGTGAGAGGAAAAAAATCAACATATTTTTGTCTAGAAATAAAGATCAATTTAAGGAAGAATGAGGTATAGTGGCTATCTAAGCCAGTTTATAAAATAACCTTTTATTTGCAGCTATACATCAAAATTCCAAAGATCACAAAAAAACAAGAACTGCTTCCTCTAGTACTAAATATATTACTGAATATCCAATTAAAAGAAAAAGAACAATGGAGAATGCTAAATTTGATCTTCCTTTTTTAATAAAAATGTATGTACACAAATTTTGACAACGTAATTGTTTAAAATTGAAATCACCTACATATGCCATTCAACAGTGAGACAGCAGGTGGTATATGAATTAGAGGAAATTACATGAGACTAGAAGTCACATGTTACTATGTTCTTCTCCTCTAATAACAGGGAACAAAGCATTAGCTTTGCAAAGATAATCGACTTGGAGACAGCAGAAATAGAAGAATGTTAACTATTATCTCTGTACTGGTAACTTCCAAGTATTTCTCTTCAGGGTTGCTCTCTCTCTCTCTCTCTCTCTCTCTCTCTCTCTCTCTCTCTCTCTCGACAGAGTGGATCCCAGCTTAGAAATGCCAAACGGGCACTTTTTTATCCTCCTTGTCATCACAAATCCAGTATGCCCAAGACCAGTGAGCACTCTTACCTCTAAATCATGCCCCGCTGTACCTTCCCTGATTTTAAATATCTTCACTGAGAAACCCTTTATGATCATCTAGACTACAACACTCAATCTAAAGACCGAAAAATGGAGTCCTAGAAAAATACAAGGACTTGTCTAGGTTTCATTAGAAAGCTATCAGGGGACCCTCACTTGAACCAATGTCGCCTAACTCCTGCTCTATACTCCAAACTTCATCTCAGCAACCGGAAGCAATGGGGCATAACAGAAATAGCAGCCGACTAGAAGTTATGAGCTCAGACTAATTCACTTAGCTTCTCTAGATGGCCACTTCCTCATCTGAAAAGTCAACAGGTTGTGCCAGCACTCTAATGTCCCATGATCTGAATCTCCCCCATATCCAATCAGTCACCAAGCAGGCTCTTTCGCCTTACTAATCCTCATCAATCCCTTCCTTTTCACTATTATCCACATCCTAGATTGCAATACCTCATTCCTAGACACTGCATTTCCTCCTAGTTAGGGACTCAATGAATGCAGTTTGTTTTGTTCACCACTGTATCATAATCACCTCGTCAGTGTTTGGCAAACATTTCTGAATAAATGCATTTGCACAGCCTTCCTTTACTGGGCTGAGACTGAGAATTAGTGTCTCTTCAAAATCTATACCTTCATTTCCCCTTTTTACACATCAGTGTCTACCTTCCATCAGTGTCTCAGAGAGACAAGGAAAAGTCCCCAGCCCAAGATTCCTTTAGCCTCCGTGTGCTAATTACAAACCTGGGTGCACGTTCAAGTCTCTGGGCCGTTCTTCTTTGTTCTTTTAGCAGTCTGCCCCCTGACAGGGACTTGAGTGGGCCTGGAGACTTTCATGGAAAGGCTAGCCTACAAGAAAGCAGTGTCTGCTGCCTCTTAGCTACGAATCAAGATCTGCTCTGCATTCTAGACAGTAACCCATCTTTGAACCTCATGTATGAGAGGGGGAATATGCTAGCGCCATGCAAACTACAAAGGGGGTTGAGAGCCATCTTCACACCTTAATTATTCCTCAGTATCATGCCTGGATAAAAATCTCTTCATTTGAAGGGAAACAGGAAACAAAACAAAACAAAACAAAACAGAACATATTTTTTTAAATCTATAAAAATACAAAGAGGACAGAAGCTATTCATAATATAAATGCTTAACTAAAGGAAAAGATTAAGTAAATTATAAAACATCAACTCCCTGGAGTCATTTAAATGACCATCAAGATTATGCTTCAAGATAGAAATATTAATATTAAAATTAAATTTTAATCAGAAAAAACTTATGAAATCAAGTTTAGTTTAAAAACAGAACAGAAGCACTATCTACCCAACGATTTTAATCTTCCTAAAATTATGACTACAGATGAATGAAGTTTATAAGGGAACACAAAATACAAACAAAGGCTTTTGTTAGGATGATACTGTATTAACCCTCCATTGGGCGCAACTGATCTCACAGATTCATTGCACACAAAGATGCTGCTAGGAACACGTCTTTACTGTACTAAGTCACAAACACGACTAGTTACGGTAGAGGGGGAAGATTTGGAAGCGATGAGTCACGATACTTAAGTTAACTGTTAAGACATTTGAAAATTTGTGTGCAATGAATCTGTGAGATCAGTTGGGACCAATGAAGGATTAACTTTCTCTAATGCTATTATACTATTATTTCAACAAACTGGAATATTTAAATGTAAGCCGGAAGAATGCTCCTACTTGCCAAAGTTCTGAGAGGAGAGAGAAGGCCGGCAATAGACCTGTAGAATGTATAACTGAAGAAAACAAACTGGTTCTTACCCTTGTGCCTCTTCAGCTGGGGAAAGCTGCTAATTGTAGTTGCCTGGATTATTTCCACTACAATTTGATACCTGATTTTTAAAAAGAGAGAAAAAGAAAAGATTGAATAGGAAGAAAATATTATTCTGAGATACTTTTATACTGTATTTGTACTAATCAAATATAACACAGGAACTGCAAAGCTTGCTCACATATCATCTGAGCCATCCGGCAGGTACTGAGCACCTACACCAGATGGGCGCTGTGCCGTGTGCTAGTCAGCTCTGAGACCGTGATGTAAGAATCATGAACTTGCTCCTCACACTCCGTTCCCTATACAAGAAGTATTACTACCTGCCCCCTCACTGAAGACAAAAACTGTGAGGTTATGCTCAACGCCTCTCTTTCACTCGCCCATCTACCCTCCACTCCCCCATCAGGACCCAGAACCTACTGACGCTTCCTCCTAAATCTGCCCTGTCTGGTAAGGTGGCCATGAACCACATGTGGTTACTTAATGGAAAATTTAGTTCCTCAGTTGCACTAGTCACACTTTAAAGGTTCCATAGCTACATGCGGCTCAGGGACCATACTGGATAGTACGTATGAACATTCCCATCACGGCAGAAAGTTCTACTGGATGGAGTTGTCCTACATACTTCTCAAAGCTGTCCTCTCCTCGCCCGTCCCACTGTCACTGTCTCAATGACTTCCCTCATTACTTCTCACTTGGAAGACCATTCCAGACAGAATAGAGTATCTGCAGTGGGACCATGGCGTCAATACTGTTTGAGCTCCCCAGGTAATTCTAATGCACAGAGAGAGGAGAGACAACATCAGATAGATATATAGATAGATATATATATATATATATATATATATATGACTAAGAAAACCTCTGAATCAGGAAAAATCAACGTTTTCATTAAGTGCTGAGTACAACCCTAGGGTGGTAGCTATTTTGAGCATATTCAGGTGGGCTTTATGAACCCAAGTTCTTAAGGGCTATTCAGTGGCTATTTAATATTGCCCTAACCAACCTCATCCGTACTCAATGTTTCTTAGCCCATAATTATATTGGCTGATTAAGAATTTGTCTGTAGTAAAGCTATTTGACATTAATTATTACTCTGAACACAAATTTTATGGCATTCTAAGGTTTAATGCTACATTTGGCTGGCTTTATAAGTTCTTTTGCGTTTTAATTAAAACCCAAGTGAGACATGAATTCATTCTAGTTATTTGGACTCCTCGCAAAGCACATCCTTTTATTTCTCCATTTGTGTAATATAAATATTGATGCCTGCACTACCACCTCAGAGAACAGGCTGTTAGGGGCTGTTGTTGGCATGCCACCTGGAGATTGTGGCAAACACTGCTAGCTGCCAATATACTTTCTTTCTTCCTTACTAACTGACCCACAGTTTTATCAGGACAAGAAATGCACCTTCCTAAAAATGCTACCCTTCTCCCTAGCAGTCAGGGATGGCCATTTGATATAGTTCTAGCCTGAGCTATAAGCCGAAGCTGCTGAGTGGCAATTCCAGGAAAGCTTTGTAAAGGGGCAGGCTCCACAGAAAAGTCTTTTGTCTGTGCCCTTTCCCCATCATCCTGTGTGAAACAAGGATGCAACTGGATGAAGGCACAGCAGCCACGAGGATGAAAGCCACAGGCTAACATGGTGAGGCTAAGAAGATAGGAGTTTAGATCTCCAATGATATCATTGAGCCATCTTAACAGCCACACACTGCCCATCCCGGGACAGTTACATGAGGAAAATAAATCCCTACTTGTTTAAGTCACTATATGTCAAATTGTTTCATATAATAACGAATAACAAATGCCATTCCAACTGACAGAGCGTGCTTTGAAGACTCCATACACAGAGGCGATATCTCTAGGTTGAAGACACATTTGGGCAACGTTCCCCAAATGTCCTAGCTCTCCTAGGACATCAATGATTAATAAAGTCTTCTGATAGAAGTGCCTGCATTCCTCCAAATAAAGGTAAAGCACAAAAATAGCTCTTTACAGGACTGTTCCTGCAAGCTACTGAACAGATGAGGAAACAGCTTATAAGAAGCACACACAAACCCGGAACCATCAATGTCTAACATTCCCTAACCAATTCTTTTTTTTTTTTTTTTAATTTTTTATTTATTTATTTATTTATTGTTAGTTTCAGGTGTACAGAACAATGCAATAGTTACCCTTTTCACCCTCACAAAGTAAGAAATAAGTCAGTCAGAGAAAGACAAATATCATATGATCTCACTTATACGTGGATTCCCTAACCAATTCTTTCGTTTAACCTTGAACTGCCTTTCCCTTGGCAAGTTAGCACTGTCTCTCTTATCCAACTCAACTTCTTTTTCTCTGCAATATAAAACTGGACTTAAGGGCTGGTTAGCTCAGTTGTTTAGAGCACAGAGCTCATAACACCAAGGTTGCCGGTTTGATCCCCACATGGGCCACTGAGCTGCACCCTCCACAACTAGATTGAAAACAATTACTTGACTTGGAGCTGATGGGTCCCGGAAAGAACACACTATTCCCCAATAAAATTTAAAAAACAACAAAAACAACTGGACTTAAGCCAAGACAGTTTCTATACAGCTCTCTCAAAACTACAGTCACTTTCTAGGCTTTTGCTCATGCTGTTTCCTTCTGAAAACAATCTCTCTACTTGTCCACCTAACTATATGTTACACATACTACTTTCCCCCTCAAATCTTCCCATCCCTCTAATTCAAATTACTATTTCTCTCTTCTGAAATCCTAAATGACTCCTGCTCTATAACAGTACTTATTTATCTACTATTTTATACTGTTGATTTAAAGAGTCACATTTCCACAAACAGTGCTGTGAATGAAGAAAATGAGGTGTTCAGTTACTTCAGGGCCTAACACTTCTTTAAAAAATGGTAACACATCTGAGCCAAAGACAAAATTGTGGCTTCATCTATAGTAAAGATATGCTATCTTTTTTCTCTCCAACTTTATCATATGCTTCTTTGAAGACAGGGCCTGTGGCTTGTATTCTCCTATAGTACCTCGCCTGGCACTAAACATATGGTAAATGTTAATGAGTGCTATGGATGAATGTTTGTGTTCCCCTAAAATTCATATGTTGAAGCCTAATCCCCAATATGATGGTATTTGGAGGTGCCACCTCTGGGAGGTAATTAGGTCAACGGGATAGTGCCTTCATAAATGAGATGAGTGCCCTTAGAAATAGACTCAAGAGAGCTCTCTTGCTACCAAGTAAGATTACAGCAAGAAGACAGTCATCTATAAATCAGAAATTGGACCCTCACCAGACACCCAATCTGCTGGCCCCTTGATCTTGGAATTCTCAGCCTTCAGAGCTGTAAGAAGTAAATGTTTGTTGCTTAAGCCACCCATTCTATGGTATTTTTGTTAAAGCAGTCCAAACTGACTAAGACAATGAGCTATATTAGTAAGTGTAAACATCTGTAACACTTAATTAACAGGTACAAATAACATTCTGAACAATCTGTTCCTTTGATATTCTTAGTGATTCATGTGCTGGAACAAATGAGTCATCAATGGTACTGAAAAAAATACAAACCATGTGAGTAAAGAGTTAAATTTTTTAAATGAATCCATAAAATTATAATGTAATACCAGCTAACATTTGTAGATTCCCTTTATTAGGTACCAGGGTACCTGTTTAGATACTTTAATTTATATGATCTCATTTAATCCTCATAATAAGGTGTTATAATTATCCCCACGTTACAGAGGAGGAAGTTGGAGATCAGATGGATTAAAAAATCTATCCAGGGTCTCACTGCTTTTAAGTACTAGGGCCAAAATTGCATCCTAGGGCTGCCTGGCTCTGAAGCTCATGTTCTTCACCATTTTCCCACCACCCTAAAATTCAGTACAGGTTAATGTCTATCTTGTGTAAGGCCTTTGAAAGCATATAAGCATGGTCAATGCCAGGTCATCTTTGCAGCCTCACTGCCTTCTGTATCCCTCTGGGATACCATTTTCCCACCAAACCAGACCACATGCTATACCCCAAGCACACTCCAGCTCTTTCCTGACTCCCAGCATTGGCTTTCAATCCCCAGCGTTTGCACACAATCCCTTCCCCTTATCTGTTAAAATCCTATTTGTTCCTTAACACTCAGTTGGTGGCCATTCCTCTCTGAAGCTTCTTAGATTCCTCTCTTCTACAGGGTAAAATATTTGTCCCTACCCACTTCTTTAGCTCTTTACACTCCACTTCTGGCCTTAGTATCTTGCCTCACATTTAACTGTTTATATCCACATGGGTCTCCTATGCTGAACTACTAACACCTCCATGGCAAGGGAAAGAATTCAAGGATCCGCAACCAATTCATCTTTATACTAGGTCCTCCTCACATAGTGCTTTGCACATAGTAGGCATTTGAACTTGGTTACTGATTTTGTAGAATTCACCTTCACTTGATACTAAAAGGCCCAGTGGTAAATGAGTGACTTTTTCTCTCTCAACGAAACCATACAAACATATGCACCCTAGTGTGGGCTAGCCTCAACAACACAGGGTGCCTAGTCCTCTGAGGAGCTACTCAGGGATGCCTGGCACTCACTTGGCTTTCTTCCTCCAGAGGAGGACATGGCCTTGCTGGTGCCAAGTGGTTCAAGAATCAGGAGGGCTGATATTTGCAAACATTCTCTTGATCAGAAGTGCAGAGATTGTTAGTATTTGTTTCCCCAAAAACATAATGTAAACTCAAGTATTAAGGGGAAGCAGCATTAACAAGAATTCAGCTCTTTTCCAGCTCTAGCAAGATCCTATCTACTGTATCCCTTGTCCCAGAAACAAGGAAAAAGTCCCACAAAGATAGCTGCCACCTGCCCCTCTGAGTTGCTACCTCACCTCTCTTTCGATTTGTACATTTATCTAAATTAATAAAGACTTAGAGCAGGTTTATATTTATGAACTCTACCCATTAATCATTAACTTACCTGAAATGCTACTGTCCTTCAAAATAACCACCTTAGAAATCTAGACTTATTGTCCTTTTACTGTCAACTGTTCAGAACAGCTTTGGAATTCTATTAGCACAGATTTCAA